TTCCTAAAGCCATGGCCAAATCAGTAGGGTTATTCCTAAAAATATTGTTGAACTGGAAAGCATATTCCCAAGAATGGTCAACTTGTATCATGGCATGAATAAACCACAAAGTTGACCACGGATACCTAGCCATACGCAAACACTACCAATGTAAACATAAGGTATGTGTTAGTTCATGAACTCGGTCACAAAAATGAGAACATAGAGTATCAAATCATGCAACCATGCATATGGGGCTAACATTCTCTATTTGCATTGCAGTTGCATAACAGAAAGTTCCATTACAAGCGCACTACTTCTCATGTAGGTATATCCTCAAAGTACATGCAAGGGAACTAAGCAACGTACCTATACGACAAACCAAAACTCGTTCAAGTAAACCTTCAAAGAACACCACTTACATACTGTGCTGAAAATTGTGACTGGCTCTGAGATCATTGGAGTCATTAAATGATGACTACTCTATGACTATGGACTTACACTAGGAGACTATGACTATGCTTTGATTTGATTCGAGATCAGACAAGTTAATAGTCAAAACTGAAGTTTAGAAACCAATAGCTTACGGCTCTAACTGAGGTACTAAAGGAGACAACCAATAATTGACTAAGTGACGATCAACTACATAAGAAATGTCAAGTTTCACGAATCATCGTCATGAAAAAACGAATATCAAACACCATCAACAAAATGCATCATACCAAAAAAAACTGATTTATGATCAATTTTTTTGATAGGGTAAGATGCCTAATGTTAATGAGTAAGTGGTATGCTAAGGAATGGCTCGGAGCGGTTCAGAGCGGTTCCTCAGCATGATTTTAGGAATAGCTCGGAGCGGTTCAGAGCGATTTAGAACCATTTCTAAAAAAAAACCTTTAAAGAATGCATATAGTTCAGAGCGGTTCAGAGCGGTTCAGAGCGATTTCTAAAACTTGAAAGCTTATGAATGGTTCTAAATAGCTCAGAGCGGTTCAGAGCTATTTCTAAAACATGGCTGAGGAATAGCTCGGAGCGGTTTAGAGCGATTCCTCATCACCCCGAAATCACGAATGTAGTCTCATCCTGTTTTTTTCAAACAACAAGATTGGAACAAAATCATACCTATTATATTAATTTCATATATTCATTTAATATATATATATATATTATCATAAATTTTGTTAATTTGTTATGCTCTCTTGTGTTTTGTGTTTCTGATCTCTTCAAGTAGTTCTCAAGTCACAATGATTACAACTACTATTGACTATGACTGTCTTACCATCTACTTACAACTTGGAACGAAACCGGACATGATTACAACCAAATCTTAGTCATGGCCTGGTTGGCTGGGGATTATACCAGCACAAAGAAGTGACAATAGGAATGTGGTGGGATTAAATTTGGAGACCAAACACTCATTGAGAAAAAAATCGTTGAACACCCGGCGTGACTGGACTAAACTACGCCAAACCAATGAGGGACAACCAAAGATTTATAGTTCCGGTTCAGGGCCTCTTTCTCACCCTTGTTGAAACCAAAATGAGAAACTGAATGGATCCGGGTCTAAAGAACGGGCCTCTCTTGGAATTACATGGGAAGGGTTCCCATCTTGGAAAGATTCCCAAGGGATGGGGGTCTTGGTAACGAATAGCTAGCTCTACAGTTCCCCCAGATTTTTTTTGGAATAGCTCTGGAAATTTTGGGAATAGCTCTGGGAATTCCTTGAAATTTTTGGGAATAGCTCTGGGGATTCCTTGAAAAATTTGAGAATAGCTCTGGAAAGGAATTTAAAATTAGGTCTCTCCAGTCTTTGAAATTTTGGTTCCATGCCCCCGGCCCGGAAAGCAAACCCGGGATTGCAAGATTTCCTCTCACGGGAATGTCCCTCAAACCGTCACAAGAATACTCAACCCTCGGCCCCGCCCCCAAAAACCGGGTTTTGATTTGAACCATCGGGGTCGGAGGCATTGGGTGGGATATTGAAACCTGGGGGATGGCAGTTGGCCCCCCAACTAGATGGCATTGAAGGACGCGCAGAAGGGATTAATATATGCTATTATAAGATAGGATTTGATTTGATTTTAGACTTACATGCCATACCAGCCACCATGGCCTTGCTTATTACCAAACGACCAATGGTCAGTGACCCCTGTTTACTGCACGCGAAACCACTCACAATTATGAATCGGAACGGGCATTTATCATGCTACATACTCTGTAATTCTTTTCCAAAAGAACATTGCAGATGGGTTGCTTAACTTGTTCATTCAGATCAGTGATTTCCAATGGGAAGGTGAACATTGAATGGTGAGTTTACCTGCAATTCTCACCTACAGAGATTGATATAATGACCGAGTATCACCGCATTCTATTACCAAAAGATCCTCCTTTCAGAAGAAATGGTGCACTGAGACTTAAAGGTTTAATTTCATGAAGTATTCTGTTTTCAGGCTTCCATGACAAGGAAATGCCGAGTTCATCATGGATAATTGACGACTATAGTGATGCTTCTACACTCTATCAATATAAAAAGGGTTGACTTGACACGATATGACATGATCCGACTGTATGACGCAAACAGAGAGATGAGTTGCTGTGTCATGATGACATGAAAAATGATATGCGAATGTGGCCATGATATGGTTCATGCTGGTCATGAACTGCCGGAATCACAGAAGGATATTGATAGATAACATTCAACCGTTCAACCCCTAGAAGGAAATTTATATATATATATTGAAATTTAAAAAAATATTATATATAGCTAGCGGCTGGTGCAGTCTAGTCATGACTCGTGCATGGAAGATTCAGCAGTCCATGGGTTTTAAGAACCATGGGCTAATCAGCTCCGGAATGACATTGAAACATTAAATTACGGCCAGCCAAGGAAGTTATATGATGACAATGGCTATAACTACTCATGAAGCAATGAGTGGGAACATATGGGAACCATACCTTAGCATGATGCCAGTTATGGCATTGGTCAAATACTTAATTCCGGGGGATCCCCGCGAAAAAGCCTAGGCACACGCTGCTTGACAACCCTTGCACATGAGTTAGAATCAGTGAGGGCACCCCTATTGTATGATTAACTGAGGCTTATTTTGATGGGCTTGGATATCCTGTGCCCATAAAATGTAACATTGTTGCAACATGCAACATTCATGAAATCCTTCAGTGGAAACAATGAACGGTGATTTGTTGGTTCATTGGTGTGTTTTGAAATCTCAACCAATACAACGGAAGAACGTGCGAGGTCCCCGTCGATCAAAGACCACTTATTTCCGATAACATGTGTAGGTGGAACCTTGGGTATAATTGAGTTGGTCACACTTACATTGAAGGGGCCCCAATCTCAATATTGTGCCCAATGAATTTAGGAACAGTTCTGGGACATCCTTGATGTCATTTTAGGAATGGTTCTGAGAAATGCTTCAAAAAATTGGGAATTGCTTTGGGGCTTCCCTGAAAAATTTGGGAATAGTTTTGGAAATTCCTTTAAATTTTAGGAATGGTTCTGAACTGATTTTATTGTTCTGGGACATCCTTGAAAATTTAAGGAATAGTTTTGGGAATTCCGGGAAAATTTGGGGAATAGCTCTGGGATCCTCACAGAAAGCTCAAAGAAAGAGGCTAAGGCATCTCTTAAGTAGTGTAGTGTAGTGTAGTGTAGTGGTAGTTGTAGTTGTTCTAGTTGTAATTGTCTATCTATCTATCTATCTATCCATCCATCCATCCATCCATCTATCTATCTCTCTGTCTGTCGATCTATCTGTCTATCTGCAAGCTTGAAAACCAAGCTATTCCGCAAGACTTCCGCAGTCTTTGAACTTGACAACATCAAAAACGCAGCAATTCAGCGAGACTTCCTCAATTTTTGAACTTGACAACGTCAAAAACGAAGCAATTCTGTGAGACTTCCTCGTTTTTCAAAGTTGACAACATCAAAAACGAAGCAATTCTGCGAGACATCCTTCAAAAATGGAAAGTTGAGTGCAGAGCTGACGGCGTCGTGCCAATGCGTTTTGCGATTTTTCCATTCCACCTATCTAAAGTATTGCGCCTGCCAGGAAAAAGCGATGCCAGGTCATACGAAGTGCTGCACCTGTCACGCAAAATCATCTTCCCAAAACTGAAGATCTGATGCTGCAAAATGCAACCCCTCTCAGGAAATCAGCGCCCTGACCCCCTAACATTTCTGATGAACATGTCTCTTGTACCGCGCCGGCCACGGAAAATGCATCTTTGCAGATCCTCTTCAAATGTCCCATGCCTGCCATCGTTTTTGGAAATGCTACAAGACCTTCACATTTTGCTCACTTTTGACAACGTGCACAATCCCTTGCGCTTGCCACACAAAAGGACATCTGAACGTCCAATTTAAAATGCTCCGAACCCTCAGCTTTTTACATTTTTAACTTCGAAATGTGCTTCGCGCCACAACGGCGTGCACTTTTTCCGACATCTCAACGTCCGAAAGTGGTCCGAACATGTGGTGGGTTTAACATTTTTACTTCGAAATGTGCTTCGCGCCACAACGGCATGCACTTTTTTGACATCTCAACTTCCAAAAGTGGTCCGGACCTGATGTGCTTTGCACGTTTTGACTTCGAAATCTGCTTTGCGCCACAACGGCGTGCACTTTTTCGACATCTCAATTTCCAAAAGTGGTCCGAACGTGAGGTGGCTTTAGCTTTTTCAGTTGCAAATGTGCTTCGCGCCACAATGGCGTGCAATTTTTCATCTCTCATCTGGCCAGCTGGCTCCGCACCCGCCGCTTTAGCGAGCCTACTTTTCGACCCTCCGGAGCCACAAATCATTGGAACAACACAATGTTTTGCGACTTCCCTACCTTTTCGCGCACCTGGATCTTCTTTCTTCTGAGACTTTCTCTTTTTTCTTCTCTTCTTCTCTGACTCTTTCCATCTCTGCTTTTCATCTGTCCATATTGTCGGAAGTTTGACTTCTAAACTTCCTTCGAACAGATGCATGGCATACTGTCTAAATGCAACCGGGGCATCAGATCCCAGCTCACCACCTGAACCACTGTGTAAATGCGGAAATGCAATTTATGCCAGTCATGCTGGAATTTGCGATGCTTTGCCAAGCTGCTGGGCTTCTGCCAAGCCACTCATGAGGCTCCCCAAAATGGGGTCTGGTTCTTCGATGGTCATCGTGGTCTGCTTGAGGATCGATTTGGTTTTTTTCATGCCTTATCACACAGAGGATGGTATCATCAACAAATACATCATAGTAACTCTACGATCAATATGACATGTGAAAGCACACACTCACGTGCAAATAGTTATATATATAACATATACATGCACATATGTATTACATATATATATACATATAAATATCATCATAGTAACAGTCACAAGTTGTGGTTTCGGGATGTTCTCGCAACTGCTGACACCAAAGCACCTGGTAGAACTGGATGTTCATCTTCACCTGGTACTTTCCTCCGGCGCGTCTGGCTCATCAGCAATAACTCTGTAGACCTCACAAAGCAGATGACTGTGTTCGAGCTCCAGAAGTTTCTCCCGAGGCTTGTCCCGAACTCGCACGAAGTCTTGACTGAAATTCACTATGAATTTGGAGAACCCATGTGAATTTTGTTTAAGCAGTAAGCAGCGCTTTAAACCATATCAAAACATTTTAAAAGACCAGGTCCCGCTGTGGAGATCTGAGCTGCCCAACATCACCAACTCATCAAGCTCGGAGGCTGGCGGCGGCTTTGGGTCTCCTGCCTAGGTTGCAAAGCTAAGGCACTGATCTGTACTTCAACCCGAATCTGTCCTCACATTCCGCAACTCACTGCAACGAAAAAATGGCCCACCTCATCATTGGAGTCTTCTCCATCTGGAGACCTTCCAAGTTCTAAGACATCTTGTAAGTTTTGAAGTAGAATGGAGTACCTCCAGGATCCTGCACACCTGCTGCTTCTCAGGTCCAGGTGATATTCCTTGTGATCACTGATCTTGCCAAGTTCATGCACTCCCGCCTTCTAGCGGTGTCACTTTCTGCTCCTGGCACGCAAGTGAACATTGTATCCAGTGAGAAAACATGAATATGATATAAATTGAGTCTGAATATGATTGAACTATTGCAGATTTGCACCGAATTTAGCACAGTATTCAGTGAATTTTAGCACAAGAATGACTGAATGACTTTTGGCAGGGCCCCCACCTTGATCCTCTGCTGCGATTTTCTCCCCCTCTTCGGATGAGCCGAACGATGCACCATCTGGGCCAATGCACGACATGCGAAAAAAACAAACAACATTCAGCATCATTCTGTTTCTGTTTCAGTTTCTATCACAGAAACCATCCATCCTGATGAAACTGAATATGTATGTGGATTTCCTGCTAATCCGCTCAGTGTCAGTTTGATGCTGATGCTGATGAGGATGCCGATGCTCATGATCATGATGATGATGATGATGAGGAGGAGGAGGAAAACGATGAAAATTGTGAAAATGATGAGGATGACCAGGACCAGGACCAGGACCAGGACCAGGACCAGGACCACGACGCACACGCGGGTGAGGAAGGAGAAGGAAGGAAGAAAGGAAGGAACGAGAGAAGGAGAGAAGGATAGAAAAATGGAAGTACGGGAAAGAAAGTGACCGGAGCATGCCTCCATCGCTCTTGCTGCCATTACTTTTGTCTTCACCACTTTGCTGACTGCCATCTTGCGTTGACCTGCAGGGCAGTAACTCTTGAGTATCAGAGTTCCAACGAAAACCAGAACACCACCCTCAGGATTGGTACAGATGCAATCTGACATTCTGGTATGGCGCAGGCAACGGGAGGTGTTTGCCTGTGAGGGTGCAATCAAGTAACCGGATCCTTTTCATATTTCAGCCAATCGCAAGAACCAAAACCCACAGAATCAGTTTCTTTCAGTTTCTATACCCTGCCGAGGCTCTTGTCATGGGCACTCTTCAAAATCCGAGTCCACTGCAGCCCGTCCTCTTCAAGTGGCCGTCTAAGGAACAACCCAACCTGAAACAACCTGCGCCATCATGATACCATGGTACCTACCGTATTAGCATGGGAATGCCTGATGAACATATGAATATGACATGATACAAATGTAATACAATATATATATATATAATTTATGTGATATATGATATAATCTAATCTAACCTAACCTAAACTAATCTAACCTAGTCTCATCTATATAATCTATATAAGCTCATCTCTCTCAACTACTATATACTATTGATGCAATGCCTCACCATGGGGTATCATTCGACAAACCAATTGGTTACAGTCGCCTCGAAGAGCTCGTCGCCCTCACCGGCTGCAGATCTCAGAGTGCCAGGTACATCTGCTGGCGCCTTGGAGAAGTGCTGCCGTTGCAGTGTTGCTGCCCCCGCTGCCCTGCTGCCCGGTGAATCCCAGGTGTTTTTTGAATCCTGCCATATCCTGCCTGGACGGGCGGTGCTGCTGGTGGAGCTCGCGGTTTGTCCTGCCAACCATGATGGTATGCATACTAACGAACAAACAGCTAGTCCGTTTCCAAGATCAAACAAATGACCCTGAACAATGTTAACGTATGTTGTCTGAAACACTCTTGAAATCCATAGGCTCATGCACACATCACAACCTTTGGTGCGAAAAAATAAAGGCGACACAAAATAGAGGCGACACGTTTTCCATCTCGGATCCAAACCTGGGACGCCCCTGGAGGTGCGACTCCCTTCGCAGAGCCTGACCAGAAACTCACATCTCATTCGAACATCCAGCGCCGTCAACACGAGTTTGCTCTCAAAAACTGCACACATCTTGACAAGTCCAGCGGCGTCCCTTGATACTGTTTCGAAGGTCCAATGTTATGGTATGACTTTTGACGGTCAGCGCTGGCCTTTTGCACCTCCTTTCGCCGGCGCAGGTGGGGGTGGGAGGTTCGGCATACCATCGGGACACCACCCCTGTGGTCCCGTCCAGGTGGAAACCTGGATTAACGATAGCCTGGTGCCATGGCCGCTAACGAACTGTGGTTTTGAGCCCAAATTGCGAGGGGGAACCAGTTCGTTAGATATGGTTAGATTGATATATCCCAGATGTTCAAGGTCGCTTCTCCATCAACAAGGGTCGGGACGATCCCTACCGGGTGATAACATGATATCCTCACCAATAATCCAAGAAATCACTGGCCTGCTTTGAACAGAAACCATGAACATTTCAAAACTAAGCGCGCTTAAATCAAAAATTTCAAACGCGTCGAATTTGAGCATTGACACTGCTGTTTGTTTGATGTTGTTTGCACCTTTTTAGGTAACCTGCCCAGGGGGGTGTGAAAAAATACGAGCACAAAACTAAACAAAATTTGGATTGCGATTTTGATTTTGTATCCAAAAGCATTGAAAAATCGTTCCGCTGAAAAAATACGAAGTGCCACACCTGCCACACAACAGCGCCATCAATCTTACCAAATGCCAAGCCTGTCACACAAAAGCACCGCGGTGTCCCAGCAACAGGAACATCAATGTCACCAAGGGCCACGCCTGCCACACAAAAGCGATTGTGTGCGACAATGTTGTGTGTGAAAGAGTTGTGTGTGACAAGGCTGTGTATGACAAGTTGTGTGTAAAAGAATTGTGTGTGGAAGAGTTGTGCATGACAATGTTGTGTGGAAGAGTTGCGCGTGTGTGTGTGTGTGACAATGTTGTATGTGAAAGAGTTGCGTGTGTGTGTGTGACAATGTTGTGTTGGCAAATGTTGGCAATGTGTGTGTGTGTGTATGACAAGTTGTGTGTGAATGAGTTGTGTGTGTGTGACAATGTGCTATGTGAAAGAGTTGTGTGTGTGTGTGTGACAATGTTGTGTTGCCAATGTGTGCGTGACAAGTTGTGTGTGAAAGAGTTGCATGTGACAATGTCATGTTGGCAATGTGTGTGTGTGACAAGTTGCGTGTAGACGCCGAGGGGCGGGCGGAGGTTCGCTCATTGACTCACTCCCTCACTCACTCATTCCTTCATTCACTTACAAAGACTTTGACCAATGAGGTGCATATTTTTGCAACAAGTGATGGAGCCTTCGTCACTCAGAGCATCAGACAGCTTGCTACAATTGTCAGCCTGGAGGCCTTGGGTGATGTGAAGGTTTTGGTTTTGCTTCTCTTGGCCATTGCACGTTCCATAGCAAGAGGAAATCTCTCCCAATGGCGGTTGGCGTGAGTTCAAGTGGACCACCTTTCATTGACTTGTGAGGCATTCGAGGTGAAGAAGTATGCTGCCAACGAGGATGATGATGAGCCTGCAGTAAACTCCACTGCTGAGCATGAAGCCCCAGCGGGGCAACCAGATATCTTGCCTGCTGATGCTGAAGGCATGGATTTTTCTTCAGCAGCAGCTGCAGCCTCTTCTCACAAGCGACCTGGGCAGCAAGCAGAATCTTCACCATCTAAGAAGCTGCGTGGAGATGAAGCTGCTCCACCTGATGGGATGGATGCTTTTCTTTTGGACGACACCAAATTTGGCACACGCGTTCCAAAACGCCACGTCTTGTAAAATCACCACTAGCACCGATTGAGTTTGTATGAGCTCGAACATGAAGATGCGCCAGTTTGTCCACATTTTGAGCCAGGTGACATTGAAGACTGGAAGACTGAGTTCAACTTTGAACCGAAGGAGTGGCATGATAAACCTATTAGATTGCGGAACAAAAAAGCACTAGGGCACTCAGGTTTGGGACACTTCAATAGAACTAGCTGCAAAAACTGCAGACACTTTCAAGACATGCGCTGGTGTGCTGATGCATTTGGCGGCAGACTTGCCACAGGTTCAACATGTGATTCGGCACTTGGCGACTTCAAAATCTGCATTAAAGAGCTTTATCACTGCCTTGAAACATTAGGCTATTTAGCCAGCAATCAACATGTTTTTGTGTGGCTGAAATGGAAAAATCATAGCAGATAGCAGTTGCATTTTCCATGAATATCCCAACATAGATCCTGCAGAAAACGTCTTGGAGCTGCTCACGGACGCTGACTGGGCAAGTGATAAGAAAAAACACGATGTTCAGTGTCTGGTGCGGTGTTGTGCTACGGTGGCTGCTTGCTCTTTTGTTCTTCAAATCTCACAAGATTGCTGCGCTCCCTTCAGCAGACTCGGAAACCTATTCTTGCTTTTCAGGAGTTTCTGATGCATTCCTTCTATCCCAGCTGATATCATGGATGACTGGGAAACGTACCCACATTGTTCTTTACACTGGCAGTTCGGGAGCACGTGGCATTTTGCAGAGGCAAGGTGTTGGACGCTTCTTTTGTGCCGGATTCTATGGATGCAGAACCCCCGAGAAATTTAGCCCCCAGTGATGCCTCTATGGACTCACCTTTAACTCAATCTACATAGGATTTCCTTTTGAATTTACATTGCCGAAGAAAGTTTAGAAGTCAAACTTCCGACAATATGGGCAGATGGAAAACAGAGGTAGGAAGAGTCAGAGAAGAGAAGGGAAGAGAATAGAAGAGAAGAGAAGAGAAGAGAGTCAGAGGAAAGAAAATGTAGGCGCGCGAAAAGGTAGAAAAGTCGCGAAACATTATGTTTTTCCAATGATTTGTGGCTCCGGAGGGTCCAAAAGTAGGTTCGCTAAAGCGTTGGGTGCGGCGCCATCTGGCCAGATGAGAGATGAAAATTTGCATGCCATTGACGTACAAAACATACCAACGTCGGAGCACTTTGGAAGATGAGGTTCATCAGAGATGTTAAGAGGTCAGGGCGCTGATTTCCTGAGAAAGGTTGCGTTTTGGAGCATCAGATCTTCAGTTTTGGTAACATTTTTTGTGTGACAGGCGCAGCACTTCATATGACCTGGCATCATTTTTTTGTGGCAGGCGCAGCACTTTACGCAGATGCAGTAGAAAAATCGCAAACCGCATTGTTACGAGGATGTCAGCTCTGCACACAACTTTCCATTTTTGATGGATGCCTCGCAGAATTGCATCGTTTTTGATGTTGTCGACTTTGAAAAATGAGGAAGTCTCACAGAATTGCTTCGTTTTTGACATTGTCAAGTTCAAAGATTGAGGAAGTCTTGGAGAATTGCTGCGTTTTTGATGTTGCCAAGTTCAAAAAGTGAGGAAACTTCGCAGAATAGTGTTGTTTTCAAACTCTAAGCTTGCAGGCAGGAAGAAAGATAGACAACTACAACTACGGCTGCAAAAACTACTACCACTACACTACACGACTACTACAGCGACAGCTACAAATGCAAATATGCTACGCTACATTACACTAGGCTAATTACATGA